TAAATTGATATTTCTTTAGAGCAGCTGAACCTTTTTTATTGTACGATCTAGCACATAAACTTAAACATGTTGTCTCTCCAGTGAAGTAAGGAAATCAGAAACACTTGCAGTATATATTTAAACATGATTATTAAGGTCTAGTAAGTGGAAAGTCTGTTATAAATCGATCGCTCGATTTAAAAACAAGTTGATATCTATTATATTATTAAAGTGATACAATCAAATTTTATGTAAACGGTTAAGGCCATTTACCAGATAAAAATATAGGCATATGGCATATCAAAATGAAGCGTAGAGTGTGTAGATATGCCGAAAAGTATTGATATGGACGAATTCCCGAAGGGCTCTGTCCCACAGGCTAATTTCCAAAGGGCTACGCCTTGCATGTTTTGGAAGTTAACGTTATTCGATTAATTTAGTGAACAACAGCTGGCCAATGCAATTGACAATATAGTTTGTTTGTTTACATTTTTGTTTAGTTATTTTATTATTTACTTTTATGATCTTAAAAGAGGTGCGGTGAATGGACAGTGAAGCTATTTGTAGCTGTTTGACACAAGTGAGTGATTAAAGGTGTTCGAAACATGATGAATATGAGATTAACACACCATGTATGTTGTTCGTTCCAAGAGGTTGTCACCGATCTTTAACCGGTTGCCATTTCATTGAAAAGTATTACATTAAGTATTAAAGTAATAAAGTCGTCATGAAAGAGAGTGGCAAGTTCAGGTACAACCGTACCCACCTCGGCCACCTTAGGACGTAAAAGGTATTAAAGTTCCATTGCTTTTAACATCCTTTCAGATGATTTTTTTTCACTTGGGCCCTTTAAATGAAATATAAAGTCAAAGTTGATTAAATTAATTTAATGGTGGCTTCTGTACACCCGTGAATCCGCGGGTAGAACCTCTTGTGTTTAATTAAATAGGTGTACAGAATCAAACTGTAAGAACATATTCTGAGTTCTATCAAAATGATTTACAAATCCGGATGGTAATTTTCCCCGCACAAACTTGTAAACATTGACCTATTAATGCGGTTTTTATCTGATACAGGGTGGCGCAGAGAAACGGGAAATTTTGAAATAATCATAATAAACCAAGAAAATTGTACAAAAAAATCTTTAATGGTGAAAATGTGTTGGTCAAGTGTGGAAAATACATAAGAAATGTTGGAAATAGGAATAAAGTAAAAAATCACATTTTTAAAGTCACATCAGTTAAGTGTTGTCTTTTGGGCCTATTCGTTCAATCGATTTTGAAGACTTAGCATTGTGTGACGTAATGTGTCCTCTGGGATGTTGGCGACGGACGTGTTCTTCGATCTGAATCTTGAGCTCAATAAGATTTCTTGGGCTAGTCAGGTACACAACGCTCTTTAGTAGTGATGGGCAGATCCAAGAAAATGTCGGTACCGGATCTTCGGATCCAAATACAGATAAGTTTTTTTTCTTTTTTCAAGGGCGGGTTTTTTAAATAAAATAATTCATATAGCTAGGCAATGTCAAAGACTAACTGTGTCCATATAAAAACACTTAATATGTGCCGTTATTGAAAACAAAGTTATCACAATTCTACGTTGCGCAATGATTATCTGATTATCGATCGTAATTTTGAGGAGATACGAAAGAGACAAACTACCAACTATCGCGTTGTCTTTCTAACACAGCTATTCGTATCGTAATCTACAACGCAGTGCGAGTGCGTGATTGGCTAGTCGCTATGACGACACACGGTTGCCGTGACAACCTACAGTGCGCACTGAGCACTGCGCCTTGTGTGGGAGGGGAGATTATACCAACAAACTATTTCAGGAATTCCATTTTGGGATGGATGAAAGATAAGGAAGAAACAAAAAGTGGTCACATGTGCAAATGTAGTGGGCGAGACAATAAGGCTATAAACGAGTATTGTCGCATCGTTGTTCCTTGTTTGTTTACTTTTTCAGATTCCCTATCAAACGCCCCTATCTGATATCTCTCTCTCTACCCCCTCTCTCTCTAATGATGTACTGATTAAACAGATTATGGTTGACGACTTTTCTACTTATAAGTTTCCCTGCGGTTATTTGAGTTCAATCAATCCCATAACCTTCCATCGTTTATCAAAATAATTAATTAATCTGTTTTGTATTTTATTTCCTTTAAACCAACACCTATTTACCATCTGTATTTTATAAAATAAAATGTTTGTTTATGAGGTTTGACTGGCCACACAATTTTGTACCTATTTTATTTTGTATAAATAAAATAGGTTATTTATCACAGTTACTTTGATGATTATATATATATAATGAATGCTTTTTATTATCAAAATAAGTAATGATTTATTAATATTTGATAATAGGCCTACATGGGTCATTGAATACCATAATGTCATGTAGTTTCCTATTTGTAACTTGCAAATAATAATAATTGATAGTTGATTAGTTAGTCGTGATGGAAAATATCCGCAATAAACCTTTGAACAAAATTGATAGTTAATTCTGGAAAATGAAAAATAGTGAACACATTCATAAACCTGTTGTCAAAACAGCAACGCGGGTGTAAGGGTTTATTGTTTCAGAGGCTAGGGTGTTTCAAGGACAAAGTGTTGGGCCTCCCGCTTAGGGGGGGAGGGGTGGTGGTGAGACAGCAAGAGGGGGAGGAAACTGGTTTTGGCTATTTATTGATTAGTTCACCGACCCTTCTAGACAACAAAATTGAGTGACAGTGTTAAATCATCGTGTTCTATATTTAATTTCTTGTTTAATTTGTGTGTTATTCTATTAATTTTAGTGATTTGGTCTATTCCCTCCTGGCCCCTTGCAAATCGTATTATCAATGCTAAATAATTGTAGTCAATTCAAATTATATTTTTGATTATTCAAATCTCCTACACAAAAAGACAAAAGTCAAACCAGGTATGGAAAAAACCTGCTATTGTAATCCCCGTACCCAGCCATATGGGAAGTGGTGAAAGTCTAGTCCAAATATAGCTCAAAGGTCTCACCCTTCCCTTCCCCCCAACCCCCTACTCAATGTTGCTATTCCGCTCATTTCGAGGTCATTGCTTAACCCCTCCCTCCCTTCTATTGTTTTGCCTTTATAGTGTTTCTATTCTGACTTTTATAAACATAAATTTATTGCTTCCCAAACAAACGTCTCCATGCAGCCATTGACAGATTGGCAGTGTGTGAGGTGGCTCCGTCTTGTTCAAACCAGGTTTGCTATATTTTAATATCTGGAAAAGCATGAAGCCGTGGAGCAAAAAATGCCTCCTTCCAGCATATGAATGTGACGTTAAGATGTGAATAGGGATGGCCAAGTCTCGAAATTTCGGGAAATTTTTGGGAAATTTTAAATCTTGTTACACGAGACGAGATTTCTTTTTGGCCGAGATTTTTACCGAGACGGGAATAAAAAAAAAAACAAAAAATAAAAAACGCCTGCAGAAAGTAAATGCAATACCCGCAATACAGGAGCGTGTTGTAGTTGCGTTTCCTTTGTGAAGGCGTTCTTATTTAAATAATTCTTTAAATGTAAATATTACTTTAATTATTTTAATAATATTACTTCAATAACATTTGAGAAGTTTTGTAAAGTGTAAGCAGTGTGAGAAATGTTTTATTACTATAAAAAGTCAAAACAAGTAACTATTTTATAAAAATTAATATTGCTTTTATTTTATGATTTATTTTATTTTAGGATAAGTTGAACTCTATCCTAACTGATATCACTATGTTTCCTAATCGTAGGCATTTTTAATAAGTTAGGCGTGATTAATAAAAAATGTTATGCTGATGTTTTTAAATAAAAGATTGTAAATATTCTTGCCTATTATCATTATTTTTGTATTTAAACAGTCATCTAACAATGTTACAAAATCAGGTAAACATTTTGAACGTGCATTTCCCGTTGTGTATGAGATTCGTCTCGATCTCGTCTCAAAATTTTATGAGAAATAAAAAATCTCGTCTCGTCTCGAACTAAAAATCCAATCCATCCCTAGATGTGAACTTACAGTGGAACGATATTCATCCTCAAAAAAGTAAGGTCCAATCACACCAAGACAAGGCACTGCAAGCCATACAGTAACTTTGCGACTGTGTAACGGACGTTGATGAAGTTCAGTGGGATTTCGATGAACCCAGTGATGCATGTTCTGCTTATTGACATGTCCATTTAAATGAAAGTGACAGACATTCAAACATTTGCAGCGGTGCACTGTCACCATTTTTGTAGTACGCTCTCACGGCAACTGCACCACTCCACTGTTTCTTCTCAACCAAATGTCCATTACAACTTGGGGTCATAACTTCAGTTTCTCATTCCTACAAAACACGTACTAGTAATGCAAGGTGTACCAACGACTTCAAAATTTCCCGTTTCTCTGCGCCACCCTGTATAATACTAAAAACTCTATAATACAACAATTCTAACAAGACAACAATTCTAATACTTGTAAAGTAAGTTTGTGTAGCCTTTCACCTAATAAATCATTGCAAAGAAATAAAGTCACCACTTCTTTATTGTTTGATATTTACAATGATATCTTAAACGTTTAAATGGTTATGGACGATTTCGTTAGTATACATAATCCCGCACTATGCCTACCGACCACACCCGCCGCCTTCAGTTGTGACGTAGCAGCACGGCCTGTATATCTAGTGCGGCCTTGACTCAGTTTTAAACAATAATACAAAACGTAATTTCTTTTGAGATATATGAGTGCTATATTACAATTTAAATCACAAGAGTTATTTGTTTAAACCATTACCAATATACATCACTGACAGCACTAGAAGTTGTTATTGATATTTATTTGTTATGATATTGGATACTTTAACCTAGACTGTTTACAATAAACATTTTTCATTTTAATGCAATTAGTTTCAAATAAGATTTATTAATACATACTTATAGTATATTACAATATATAAATTTTATCAAACATTTGTAAATTACTTATCAATGAGTATTTTTATAAATATTAGCAAAATTCAAGGACATCTGTAATAACCTTTTTTACTGTTGTTTGGTGGTTTGGGGGGAGGCTGGCCCTTGCGACAACTGTGGCAGTACCAGTTGCCTGTTGGTACCTTACGAAGAGGAGGGTTGATGCAGTCAAAGTGATACTTCTTACTGCATGTCTCACAGGTGATCACTGGACCTTTGGTACGACATACTTTGCACACACCCTGTGGTAATTCTTGTTCTCTGAAAAAAAATCAATGCGTTACATTACAGTAAACTACAAATTGCTAAAAAAAGTGCCTCAAAATAGAGAACATGTTTTACTTTTTTTTAGCCCACTATCTAAAGAGAGCATAGGTATGGGTTGTGTCACAAAACTGTAAACTATTGTTTAAATTAAATTTAAACATTCTTGCATTTAAACTGTAAGGGAGATATAGGTTTTATATTTGTAGATATATGTAAACTAGAGGTTGTAGAGGTTGAATTGTAGATAGTGACCTTGCCAACTAGGAAGCGTGCTGGAGGTGTTTTGGTAAACACTGGGTGCTTTGCACTCAGTAGCTGTCTGGTCAATAAATAGGCCACCTGAGGTAGAGAAAGAGGTCAGTTGCCCGGGGCAAGGTGCCCAGGAGACTAAAAATAGGCTTTACCTTCGTCACTGCAGCTCAAATTCTTGTGGTGTAACTATGTTACGGCCGTTTCGGCATTACAATGCCATCGTCAGACTACAAAAACACAAACTCGGCTGAAGTAGCGTCGTTGAAGTTTAAACACGTAACACATACGAACAATAATATACATTTAAAATATTTACAAAAACCGAACAGGCCTGTCGTACTAACGGGTGACATGTTCCCGTTCCGAGCAAAAACCGACTGGAAGATTTCTATGTCAAGCCCGGTGTGGTGGCGTTATCAGTTGAACTTTGTACTCCTGGCTTCTTGTTGCTTTTCTGATTTAAAATGCTATTGAATATGAAGTGTGACTTGTACTGTAGTTTGTCGTTTAAAATTATATCGTTCAAATTATTTTCGGTGTAAGCTTTGTAAATTTCATACTCTTCTAGGGTGTCCAGTCTATTGCCTTTCTTACTTGTGTGGAGTATTTCTAAGCCAGTGTTCAGATCGTTCATGTCGTGATTTTTGTCAACCAAGTGTTGTGCAAACGATGACTTTTGTTTGTCGGCTCTAGGAAATGGATGGTGCTCTTTGTATCTGGTTTTGAATGAACGTCCAGTCTTTCCTATGTAGTAGCTCGGGCAACTTGCACAATTAATCTTATACACACCTGACTTTTCACCTTTATCAATTACGCCACTTGAAACATTCAATTTGTTAATTGTTTTGTTGTTAGTCCTAAAAGTCAATTGAATGTCGTGTTTCTTCAGCTCCTTCGTGAGCGTGTGTTGAATGGAATGGGAGTATTCCACACATACATACTTTTTCTTTTCCTTTTGTAGATTATTATCTCCTGGCCTTTTGTTTTTCTTTTTAGCTATCAGTCTATCAATCATGTTACTTTTATAACCATTAGCTATGGCTATATGTTTAATTATATTAAGTTCTTTATTATAATTGTTGTCCGACAACAGTACATTCAACAATCTATACACCATACTGTTGTAAGCGGCAAACTTTTGTGATGGCGGATGATAAGACGTGTTGTGGATGGTTTGATCGGAAGTGGTTGGTTTGCGATATATACTGAAGTCTAATCTATTGTCTAATTTTTCTATAGTCAAATCCAAAAAATTGATTTTATTTGCTTCCTCTATTTCCATTGTGAATTTTAAGTTTGACGTGATGCTGTTGAGGTATTTATGTAAGACACGGGAACAAGTCACCCGTTAGTACGACAGGCCTGTTCGGTTTTTGTAAATATTTTAAATGTATATTATTGTTCGTATGTGTTACGTGTTTAAACTTCAACGACGCTACTTCAGCCGAGTTTGTGTTTTTGTAGTCTGACGATGGCATTGTAATGCCGAAACGGCCGTAACATAGTTACACCACAAGAATTTGAGCTGCAGTGACGAAGGTAAAGCCTATTTTTAGTTATTATACAGCTCAGGGGCTAAAACATGGATTTTAATGCCCAGGAGAGTTGGGTGAGTACTGGTTTCTCTATCTTGGGGTTGGGCCCTGTAGTCGGGAGTTTTGTACGGGAAGTTTTGATTTAAAGGGGCCTGTAAGTTAATTGGAGTTTTGTGATTTGAGTTGAAGGAATTCTTTTGGGGATAGATACTTTGGTTTGATTAGATTACAAGGGAATAGTTTCGTTTTGTTTTTGGGGATTATAAATCTAAGATTCAAGCTGCCTCCAGAGCAGTTCCTACCAGGCATTTGTTAGTAGGCTATAAGATAACTATCACTGTATTAAACTTGATTACTTAAAGACAATTAAAAATCCTGTTTGATGAACACGATCTGGTTCTCTTATTGAACAGCTACCCAGCTCATAGCATTAAGTAGAATAAGATTAAAGATTCAGGTTTGCTATAAAGCTACGCTCCCATGTGCGTATGCAGGATAACCTATGAAGAGTGAGGGGGTTTTCTGCATATCACACCACCAAGACTGATTGCATGAATATATGATAGGTTACGTACCTTTGTCCGTCTTCAGTCTTAAAACATTTGAATAAACAGTAGGCTAGCCACATTTAATCATGGGTTGTTTGATCCCTCGTGTAGCTCTCGTTCGTTTGCCCCGCGATTAAATGTGGGTAGCCTAGCCTACTGTTTAGTGTTTATTGAGATGTTTTTACATGTGAACTTATGTGTCAATGTGTATTGATGAAGACATTGTTGGATTTCATGGACTATAATTTGATGTTTTGGATTTTGAGTCTTTTGACTGAAACTGAAACTAGTAATCCCCAAACAACTGTTATAAGGCTGAAGGCAGACAAAGGTACATAGCCTATCAAATATTTATAATTTAAAATCAATCCCAATACAAAAAAATTACAATTATCATATTCCACCTGTCACATAGTATTTTCAACTAACTTAAAAAAAATGATTGCCAAGTATAGAAAGTAATCAAGCAAATAAGGGCACACAACAAAGGTGCAGCGTGAATCTGTGTCAATAGTTCTATTTTATGGTAAAAGTACAACTAACTCATCAGATACTATGTGATATTTCTTGATTAGTGATGGGTCCTTGATTTTAACCTTGCCTTCAAAGTCAATACAGGTACCATTGGTACCTCATTTTAGAATACTTATTTACTACTGCATTTAAACTTTTGAAACCGATTATTTTGTATAAGTGTAGATTGGTCATTAAGTGATTAAAAATTAATTCGTACAAAAACACTTTATTAACCAAACACATTTCACATCAAAATATGTAAGTATAAATACGTACCAGAGAAGGGTGAAATATGACGAAATATTTACATTTATACTTTTAGGGATGTGTCGATTCTCGATACCGATTCTCAATACCACCGATACTTGGCCGATGGTATCGCTATCAATAATCGATTGTCAAAAGACAATTCCGATCAACAACGATACCCACGTGACTGGAAAATCAACCCTCTTGATGCGAACTCGCAAGACTACAAAGACGTTTCCATGACCGCGGGGGGTAAATGATGATGTCTTCTCGGCCGCAGGAGATGTTCATTATTATGCCGCGATCGCGGAAGATGACGATGACGTCTACATGGCCGCAGGAAATATTCATGATTATGCCAAGATCGCGGGAGACAACAATCATGTTTGTGTAATCGCGGGTGACTATAATGAGGACATCACGGCCGCAGAAGAAGTTCATGATTTTCCCCAATTACGGACGATGACATTTCTGTGACCGCAAGAGACAATGATGACGGCCACATGGCCATGTTAAATGTTCATGATTATGCCGGGATCACGTAAAACAACGATTACATTTCCGTGACCGCAGGAGATGATGATATCTAAACGGCCGCGGGATATGTTCATGATTTTGCCGTGATTGCGGACGAAGACGATGACGTCTACATGGTCGCCGCGGGAAATATTCATGATTTTGCAGCGATCGCGGTTCCACAACGTTTCCGTGACCACAGGAGGTAATGATAATGTCAACACGGCCGAGGAGGTTTTTTAAATTTTGCCGCCATTGCGGGAGACGGCGGTCATGTTTGTGTAATTGTGGGAGACGATAATGAAGTCATCGTGGCCGCAGGAAATATACATGATTTTGCATATCATGAAATATAAAGATGTTAGGAAATATACAGATGTTTTCCATGACCGCGGGAGGTAATGATGATGTTTACATGGCTGCGGATGATTTTTGTGATTTTGCCGGGACCGCGGGAGACGACGATCACGTTTGCGTAATTGCGGGAGACGACAATGTCATTTAAAAACTACGATGAGTCGTTTTTAAATGTGTTTAGAAAGGAATGTATCATTGCTGCATAAATTTTTTTTTTTTTTACTTGAAAAACACCACATTACCTAAAAAATACTTAATGGAAGGACATGAAGACAGGGATTGGTGTAGTATAAGCAATCCATCCAGAAAATTTGGAACAATAATACAAAAATTGTATCAGTATCGAGAATCGAGAATTTATTTTTCAGGTATCGGTATTGAGGATCGATAAATTTTGGGATTGATAGTTTGATACATCATTTCAAACAATCTTTATTATTTTAGTACATATTTACAGTACATTGAACAGTGTCAAAAAGTGATTCTTTATTATAACTTAAAACTGTTTTCTAACTTATTTCTACCATTTTTTACCATAAAAAGAAGGCTATTTAAATGAATGAAATGAAATGAAAAATTCTTTATTTTACCAGGCAAAGTTAGGGCCACATGGCCCTCTCTTACACTTAACCTGACAAACTTAAATATAAATAAATAAAAATACAATGACATTTCTTAATCTAATATAAAAATACATATTTAACACATCAAGTACAAGTTAACAAAAATTCAATCTATTTAACTAATTAACTAATTAAAAAAAATTGTAATTATTATAAATTAATAGAATATACAACAGAAAAAACTTTCACACTCTCACACGCATACGCACCAGTAATCGCGCAAAGACGCAGAAGCCCTAGGACACGCCAGCCGAGACCATTTGCTCAAAGTAGAGATTTTTTAGTGCCGCCACAAACTGGGAACGTTTATCAAGGGATTTAATGTGTAGGGGTAGGTTGTTCCAAAGACGGCAAGCGGTAACAACAAAAGCCCTGTCATAAGCGGTGGTCACATGATG